TAGATCCAGTTTCGTAGTTCTTGTATAAGTTAGTCCCCTTTGTTCGTTCCTGGTCCATTCTCGTCTCATGCAAAGCTAGATAATGGAAAGTCACTCCTGACAGAGCCCTTTCTACTGAAAGGAGAGGAATCTGCAAGTAACTTACTTTAAAATGAAATAGAAAACTAAAACACCAACAACTATTATAATTAACCATTAATCAGGAATGAAGAATATTATTGATGTTAGTTATCTATATGTGCTGTTTAGATGATATGTTTAGATTACATTCAAAATTTAAAAACCTCTTCGTTTTTTTATATCCTTGAAAAGATTAAACATTATCGGAAGTATGGTGTAGTGAAACAGTATTACTCCATTTTAAATCATAGATATCTAACTTATTCCCATAATTTTTTTTTGAACCTATTCTCTATCCTTCCATTGTTGGATATAGGTCTCCCCCAGTTCTCTCCATCTTTCCCTATCTTGAGCTGTTCTCTGCCATGTGGGACCTCCTTGTTTCCTGATGTCATCCTTTCCACCTCATCTGTGGTCTGTATATCATTTCTCATAATATAGAGTATTATTTATAAATAAAAAATGTTTTACAAATATATTTCATTTTAGTTAAACTTTACGTTGCTTTCTCTCCCACCTTCTCTCTCTTTTTCTCACATTTTAATTCACATGCCATACTTCAATCTATATTTTTTTACGGATTGAAACACCTCACAAATGTAATATTTTTCAATAAAAATAATTATTTTTATTACAAATAACACTTTTATTACAAATTATATTATATTATTGTATATAATAATATATTGTATTGTTTTTAAAAACAGGATTACAGGGTTTCTCGAATCCAAAGCTTGCCGGCTGAAGATCCTGGAAATGGCTCCGGTGACCAAGACTACAGATTTGGTTTTAATATAGATCAACTGAAACTCCCTCCTCCACCACCGCCGCCACCAAAGTTTCAGGAGCAGCATCTACCGCCGTTGTTGTTGGAAAGAGATGATCCTTCACCACCTATATCTCCAGACAATGTGGATATGGATCTGAGCGATGACGAAAATTGTAGAGTAAAGAGTGAAAATTTAAAGGTAAATATTATCCGAAGGACTGTACTATACAACTCATCTGGCATATCGACAAAAAGTTTTATAGTTTTGATGTTAGATCTTATCTTCCCACCACCAGTGTCGTATTATGTTGGTTTTATATTACTTGCAAAGGAGAATTTACAGTGTGGCCTATAAAATATGTTGTGGTTCCCTTTTTTCTGATTTTTTCTGATGAACTCATTCTTTCCTTATCGTATTCTTTTTATAAAAGGTAATGGGTAGTCTGAAGTTGAATTAAATCTTTACATCTTATTATGTTGAGAGCGTTTTCCTTAATTTTTTTATTACTTCTTTCCATTTTTTTATTTTGTGCTTTTCTCCTACCTATCTTCTTTCTATGCACTTTTTTCAATTCGTTATGTTGGTCCTCCTTTTTCTCATCTGTACTGGTTTTATCTGCAAGACCAATTTTTCCATTTTCTCTATTTCCTGAAGGCTCATTTAAAATCTATGAAAATTGCGGAGAATGTACACACATCAAAAATGTATAAGAACACCAAGTTTTTTTTCTCAGATATATATCTATATTGATTATAAAAAGTGACATACCGTTATAATGCCTGATGAGTCAGCAATGAATTCATCTTAATTTTAGTGTAATATGATTTCTCTCTGATGAAACAATCAAGCAAAAGTTAAGAAGTGCAGCAATTTAATTAAAATGTTTATTTAACATAAAAGTCAATATTAAACAAAACTCTAACAATAAATGTTTTTCTAAAAACAAATTTAATAATCTGCGTTTTCCCCAGCAGCATTAATTACGGCTTGACACTACCTTGGCATGCTTAAAATTAAATTATCAATTTTGTTTCGAGGCAATAGGATCCATTTCTGTGTAAGAAGATTTCGAAGACCTTGTCTAGTACTAGTATGAACATTATTCAGACGAGGAGCAATTTGTCTCTGAAGCATATCCCATACATGCTCACATGTATGGATACACATTTCAAAATCACATTCAGACACACGTCTAAATGACATCAATCGTCGTCGTCATCAATTGACGTCAAAATGACGTCAGGCAACATCAGTTTGTGAAAGACCACCTTCATTCATATTCACAACACTTAACACTTGAACATATAATAAATGCCGACGCTCCATGGCTATTGTTGCGTTTAATAATCTTGTTTTAGCAAAGGTCTAAAGTAAATACACTATTCTTTACTGTCTACTACTTTAAAATCTTTAAAACTACTCGACTATCTTTAAAATTTGAAGCACTTTGTTTTTACAATTTGAAGCAATTAATCGTATGAATGTGAGGCACTGTCACTTTTGCCTTATTAAAACAGGGCAATTGACAGATTAATTTTCATGGCACACCTTTTGTAGAGAAGTTTTCAAATCGACTGGTATGTATTAACAAAAAAAAATTTATTGAAAAATAGGAAATAGTAGTGGTGCTACTTAGACATTTTGTTGCGTGTATTATATACATATAATAGATATACCAACGGTCTTAGTCTTAAATAAATATTATTTCCAGGTTATTATCGATGGAAGTGAAAATGATGATCACTCTTTTATGCTAGAACCACCCCCACCGCTACCTGAACTACCTGATGATGACACAAATAATTTCTTAGATGATCTCACTCATGGCGACGAAATGAATGAATTTGGAAATATATCTGATAATCTGGAAGGTAAGCCTCATAAGTAGATACAAGTTGTTAATCCTAAATAATCGAGTATGTAGTAAACAATTGAAGTATAGAAATTAAAGGAAAATACGAATTAATCACTCATTCCATTCTTTAAAATCAAACACCAAGTTAAAGGTATTTCCCACTTGTACATATTCCCTTTTGTGGGTATTAAAAAAGTATCCAACAGTTGTTAGTAGCAAAAATTTGCAAAACACAATTTTAACATCTTATTTTTGTCGTCAACGATTTTTCATGTTGTCAACAATAGATAGCGTGGTGAGTAGAACTGAATTTTCAACAAAATTTATTAGTTATTGTAACGTACAATAAACGTGGATGGGTAAAACGGAACCTCAGAAGTTAGGTGCTATTTTGGGTAACGTAAACATAAACCCAAGGGATGATCTGTCTTTGAAATTAAGTTAAACAAAGAAGCTCAGGTTTAAAGATGTGTTTTAAATGACACAATGTCTGACGTTGGGAAGTGGGTCAACATATCTAGACTGGGGATACTGTAACGGTTTATTTAAAACCAAGTCAGAAAGAAAATAAAAAAGAGATAATATTAACTGAAAGGGAAGTACATTAAAAAAATTGAACTAAATGAAAATAGGAGAGACATGATCTTTTCTCTGAGAAACAAAGAAAACTTGACGATCGTCGAGATTCAAAGGGAAATAACTCACAATATGCGGCAGCAGGTTCTTTCACCTCTGAATTATACTGTATCATCAACACAAATATATTACAATCGAATGCTACTGCTTACCAGAGTCTTATAAACTATATTAAAATACCGCTAAAATGTCAATTCACAATATCACAATCGAATTTCCACCAGACGCTTATATCGAATCATGAAAAAACATATATCTTGAGATAAAAGACTATAGGACTATACAGGCAAGATCCAAAAAGGTTTTTACAGACCACTAATCTTTTAAAAAGTGGTAAATAACTGCTGAACTGTTTTCCAGCTCGACTAAAGTTTCCATAGGAAACCATGGAACAGAGGGAACCTGTTTCAACTGTGTCTCCTGTAAGGAGACAGCTGGATATGTTCATCTTGATAACAAGAGATAAATTAGTAATTAAAAAACCATAATATAGATCTCTCAAAAATAAAAACACAAACACTTCCAAAGAAACACGTATGTAGATAGAGGTGTGCTCAAGCAAGTGGGGCATCGCTGACACCGAGATCAACCCTGACCGACCCAACTGGACTTTCTTGGGTCTATTTGTATGTTTCGTTCGGATATTATTTTATAATGAACGTTGGATTGGGAGAGAAAAGCGAAATAGAAGAAAGACAGTACCTATCCCATTAGAGGAATCTGGCAGTACAAATAAATACTTAGATTATGCTGATTCTCCTTGAAAATTATAAGAAGCAATTTTCAAAATAAAAACCTTATGAAAATATTGCCAACAGTTTGGAAAGAATACGATAGTTACATATTTGCCTGTATATAAAGTATGATATTCACTACACTATTACTTAGGCTAAAACAATTTTGTCTGTTTCGGGTAGTATTTTAAATAGTAGCTGTAATGAAATAATAATGTTATGAAAAGTGTATATACTGTCTATGTACTAAAAATTTAAAACTTACAGATTCATTGAGCAATAATTCTATGAGCGTTCCACCGCCATTAATGATGAATTTTAATGATTTGGTAGGTCCGCCAATCATGCCTGCATCATTGAACACTTCCCTACCCCCACCTCCACCGCTCCATCCACCGCCAATGATGATGGGACAACCTGGGCCGCTTGCCCCGCCTCCGAATCCTTGGCTATCGGATGATGATCTAGACAATTCATCGCAAAACAACCATGATCAAAGCGGTGGAGAAGATTGGGGTCCAGACGATAATTGGATGGGACCACCTCCTCCTCAAATGCCACCGCCATATATGAATAATCAAGGTTTTCGAGGAAGAGGACACAACAATAGAGGGCCTTTCGTTAAAAGAGGTATAATAACATCTTTTTATTTGTTAGAATTTACTGAGTTCTTAATAAACGATGGTTCGGTTTTGAGAGAGCTAAGAGTACTTTTGTTCATACACTGCAGTATTTGGTATTAACTTTTATAATAATATTAATCCTGATACATTTTTAAATATAATATATTTAGACTATATGGATAAAGGTAAAATATATATTGTTTATAGTGATAATCCTAATAACACATCAGGATCATTAGTGCTCTCTATTATAATCAGATAACTGTGTTAAATTAGAATAGTGTTTTTTTTTTAGAAGAAATATAGATTTAGAGGGGTGTCAGACAGGGTATATCCCCTCTTCTACTCTGTTCAGCATATTCCCTATGCGCAACATGGCAAAAGCATCTTGTGGTCATGTCATTTCTTATGTCAGGCACTTGTAAGTAGACCGATTGAAAAGATGATGAAAAAACACAATCTAAAAAAAAAGAACCTTCTAAACCAATAAAAACCAAGATGGCAATTTTTTTTCTTGGAATCATATTTCCATTGTTTATTAACATTAAGAGCTGAAGATTGAATAGATTATAAACGAATATCTAAATTTTATGATCCATTTTTTATATGGCATATACTGAGAAGGAGTAAAAAAGTATAACCCGTTAAAATAATCGCCTGTTCGAGCTCTTTTTTTTTAATTGCGTTTTAAAACTCGGTAAAGGACTGTGCTATTTTCACCTTCCCGAAAAATCGGAAAATCCCGAAAAGATCAATTAGTTAAAGTTTTCCATAAAAAGTTGAATTTTACTTTTATTTCGTAAAAAATATTGAAATTTTATTGATTAATATACAGTGTGCTCCAACGAAAATTTGACGCCTCCCCCAGAATCTCAGAAACCAAGAGTTTCTTTAAAATCTAAGAAAACACGTCAATTCGTATTGGCAGCGGGACGAATTTTCATGCAAAATTCATGCCCTCAAATTTATCCTTTTACTTCCCCACATCAACCCCCAGTTTTTTTTTAAATAGCAAGTATGGTGGAGTGGCAGATCATTTGAAAGTTTCTCTACATTTCTCGACATCACAGTTTATTTTTTTAATTTAAGTAATAACTTTGAAGATAATTTTGGATTTAACTAATTTATTGGTTGAATACCAGTAATAACAAGAAAAACATTAAATTTCACAAATTAACCAATTAAGTGTTCTTAGTGACCTCCAATACAATAATTCAATCAACCTGCAAATCGATATCAACACGTCTGTGTTCTTCTTCTTCTTTTTATATAGACATGACTCTGTCTGTTTTTCAATGTGCCTCCAGTAAGTTGGAATGACAACGTTTTCGTTTTCGTGGTCTTCCTACTGATCGTCTTTCTATTGGGGAACCTGTCTTTACTACTCTATTTGTTGTCATTCGACTTATATGATCGTTCAATTCTACTCTTCTATTTCTTACCCAGTTTTTGATGTTCTCCACCTTGCATCTATGTCGTATATTTGTACTTCTAATTCTGTCCCATAGTGTGGACTACCATTCTCCCATTCTGTGAAAGGACTAGTCATTACAGGTATAGCCGACAAACGCTGTGTTTACAATTATTATTACTTTGTTTGACTGAAATTATGCGCCATCTCACGGACTGCCGTCTACGCTTTAGGCAAACGGTGTTATAGTCCGAATGATTGAAAGTTACAGCGTCTGAGGGTTGTATGTACAGTCCAGTCATTTAATAAATAAATTGCAGAGTTATTAGCGGCAGTTTATAATAATGAAAGGCCGTGCATTTTTTATATTTAAGGTTAGGTTTAAGTTGTTGTTACCTCATTCATTTCATCATCATTTCACGGCTTTTTGGCGTCTTTGTTCACTTGATAATATTGGTTTACCTTTTCATAAAATACACCCTTGTCGATATCCATATTTATATAATAATAAACACTTGCAACAAGATATATGGTAAAATCTTAATTCGGCGTCTGAATTGACTAAACATACAACCGTCAGTCGTTGTAATGTTCAATCATTCGGCCGGTATCACCGTTTGTCGTCTGCCAGGGATGGCAGTCCCTGAAATGGCGCATAATTTCAGTTACAATAATAAGAAAAGTAAGTGAGAGCGCCCACCAAACTGACGTGACAATGGCAAGTAGCAAGTAGCACGCGTCTAGCATGTTACTTAAAATGTAACCAATGAAAACGAATGATTAGCAATAGACAGAACAAGACAAAAATATAGACAGCCCCAGATATTCGAATTATATGCAATCTATATTGGAATCAAACAGCAAATTTCAAGGTTAGGGCAGACTAACAGAAGAAATTCAAATCCGTCGAGGAGTCCGGCAGGGATGTATCTTATCGCCACTTTTATTTAATCTGTATAGTGAAGCTATCTGCGAACAAGCACTCGAGGAAAAAGATCTTGGTCTGATAATAAATGGTGAGACGATCAACAATATAAGGTATTGCTGACGATACACAGTTCTCCTAACGGGAACGCTAGTAGAACTACAACATCCCGTTCAAAGTCTCAATATATACTGTAACAGTTACGGCTTGAAAATTAATTTGAAAAAAAACTAAATTTATGGTAATCACGAAATCAAAGAACATCAGAGCTAATCTTGTAATAGACAATACAACGATTGAGCGTGTGCCCTGTTATAAATATCTAGGTACTTGGATCACAGACGATACTGATCAAACAAAAGAGATTAGATGTAGAATAGAAATCGCTAGATCAGTCTTAATAGAATGCGCAAACTCTTTTTGCAATCGTGATATCAATATAAAGTTCAATATCAATATAAAGTGTTATGTCTTTTTCTACCCTGTTATATGGAGTTGAGGCTTGGACACTAAAACAGTTGACCATAAAAAAAACATCGAAGCTTTCGAGATGTGGTGCTATAGGCGCATTCTCAGAATATCATGGATGGACCGCGTCACTAACACGCAAGTACTCCAAACTTTAGACAAAAGATGCGAAATTCTAAATGATAAAAACTAGAAAGATGGAATACTTGGGGCACATTGTGAGAGGTGAAAAGTACGAACTTTTAAGAAACATCATGCAGGGCAAAATTAAGGGCAAAAGAAGTGTGGGAAGAAGAAAAATATCGTGGCTTCGTAATCTACGTGAATGGTTCGGGTGTAGTTCGATTGAACTTTTAGGCGCGCTGCTAACAAAGTCGCAGTGGCCATGATGATTTCCAATCTCCGCTAGGAGTGGCACGAGAAGAAGAAGAAGCATGTTACTTAAAATGTAACCAATGAAAACGAATGATTAGCATGAATGACGTCACTGACATTTTGGTGTGCGCTGAATCATTCGTTTTCATTGGTTACATTTTAAATAACATGCTAGATGCGTGTTATTTGCCACGCCAGTTTGGTGGGCGCTCACCCTAATACAGCGTTTGCCGGTAATACGTGTAATGACTAGGCTTTTCACGAAATGACGTGTTACACCTATTTCCTGCAACATATACACTATAAACCTTTATATACTTTATACTACTTTATACTATAGATTACGGTAGAAATTTAACCTCACTTATATGTCAATACATGACAGAAGATGAATTTAAATGCATGCTCCAAGTTAAAAAAGTCGTCATAGTAGGTGACTGAGCTTGAGCAAAAATATTTGTAGGTACTTAGGTACATATTTTTAGTTGGTGAAACGAAAACCAACGGAATTAAGTATCCTGAGAAAACTAACAAACATTTTTAAAAAATTTAAATGCAGAATGAAAGATTACCGAGGGCAGAAAGTCCCTTAGAATAAACAAAAAGTTTTTTTGAATGAGATATTTAAAATTAAAAATCACACTAAATTTTCTCTTTTTTTTTTCACCCCTGTAACTTATTAAAATAAACATTATAGAAGTTTTCAGGGACTTTCGGCCCTCGGTACTAATGAGGTATTCTTTCATTCTGCGTTTAAATTTTTTAAAAATATTTATTAGTTTTCTCAGGATTCGAAAAAAATGAATGCATTTAAAAAGCATTGGCCCGAAATTTTGCGCCTACGCATCACGTTGGTGGAACTGGCCGTAAAAAACTACATAAGATTTTTACGTGAAATCGATGATTTTTTCACAGATTTAGACTGAGGTAAATACGATATTAAGGCAAAGTACGTCTAGTCAAAAATTAATTTACCACTTATTCTTACGCAGCAGACTTCTTTAATTAGGGGCTGCAAAACATGCTGTTTTATATTATCTTTATTTCGTTTTCATAATCTACTCGTAGAAAAAAATATAGTATTAGTTTGATATGTTGCACCAAACATATTGTAGAATGTTATTATTATGTTATCTCTTTATCATATAATTCATTACTTTGTTATTTTTCACTACTAAACGCATTTTCTATTTATAGGGAGGGGACGAGGAGGGTCCCCGGGATTTAATTTCATGCCAGATCAAAATTTTGGAGGAGGCAATTTTAGAGGAAATTTCAGATCAAGAGGAGGAAACCGTGGCAATAGAGGATTCTTCCCAAGAGGCGGTAACTTTAGAGGAGGATTTAGAGGTGGCTTCTGATAATACTAGATATTTTATGTTATACATTGCATAGTAAAATGTTTCATAAAGATTCTTGATCTATTAGTAAAAATTGTGATCGGTCATATTCTTGGTGATAAGAAGTTCGCGTAAACGATTTTTTATTTAAAACATGTAATGTTTAGTAGAATAAGTTGTATCTTTGCACATTTTTTTAATGTACGTAATTGGTTTTTCTATTTCCCTTAATAATCAAAAACAGTTTGATCAGTTTGTTTATAATTTACGTTAAATTAAAAAAAATAGTTTTGCGACGCGTTTCTATTTATTTGTGAAGCGATTTTCTCTTCCTTAGACTTGTATATGTTACTCTCATTGTTTCAAATTCATTATTTACTTCTCTCAGAGGTCCAGAGAAGCTTTTGACAACATACCCAAAAATAAATTGTGAGATTGTAGTAATTTGTAGATTACGCGAATCGACCTGAGTAAATATTTTGTGCATAACCCTAATCTAGTTCAATCCAATAATCTCGAAAATGCTATTACTTCAAAGGAAGTTGATCAGTTTTCAATGTTTATTACCTTCGAAGGTGTAAGAAAAACCCCTTCAATGAATTTAAACTATTTGAAGAACAATGCTGCAGTCGCATAGTATATATTGTACCGTTTATTTTTCATGTTCCCAGAAACGACGGTTCCAATTTCTAATTTGCTCATCTTATTAAGATGCTTAGAGGTCACTCTTCCTCATGTATTGGCCCATTTTTATATTAGACCTACCGTGACTTTCGTCCAGAGAAACACCAATAAAATTTATCTGTAGATCCTCTTTCCCCTTTCTAATAAGTACACATTAGAAACTTTAGCATCTAATGAATGGCACGAGTGATATGAAATAAGCTGATCAGTTGGATCAACACCAGATATGTTAAATCTGGTATATCTCTATAAACTGCTCATTTCTTTATTGTGACTGCTCTGCACAGCACTGACTAGCACCAACAATGATTATGATTAAATCGATTGATACTTTTTATCAATGTAAAATAGTAACGAATAGATATATTGGGGGCATACATGTTAAGCTTCCCTTTTGGATACAAATATGAATAACAGTCTTTTCCAGATATACTGTCGTTTTCTTAGTTTTTTATTGGTTAAAATTGTTTGTCTTCTCGTCTATATAGGTAGATGAAATATGATAAAAGATGGCAAAGTTTGTAAAAATAATTTATAAAACCGTGTGTAAACTCACAATAAAATTAATGTTGTTCCATTCTAATTAGAAATTATTTATTTGAGATTCGTTTTATTTTAAATAATCTTACGCAACTGCTTGTGTCAATATTGTTTCATATTTACGTTTTTTATTTACAAAAGTAGCAGTTGAAATTATTGGTTTACGTATCGTCCTACATGGATTTTCATATCCATAAAGTTTATTATAGGACGACACCGTGGTATGAAAAGATTAACGTATTTTTTGGTTATTTGCACTTTGACGTTCAAGGTTAAAACGTTTACAAACCATTTTGCTTCCTTCACTACTGGCGACTTAAGCCAATGAGATGGTAGAGGGAAACTTTAGTCAAATCAGATCTGCTAGTCGATTGTATGTATTAATATTTTTTATTTTCTGGTCAATGATCATCATTTTCAAATTATATTCTGTCGCCATTCTTCATGCGTCTTCTTCTTTGAGTACCGTGCCCAAGTTTTAAGCGTGAGTAGCTTTTATGTAGTTGGGCCATTCTTCCTTTTTTTTTTTTTCGTTTAAGTCGAGAATAATTCTTCATGCGGGACTCTTCAATTTATAACTTATACTCATTTGTGTAGACTGGTTAATATATAGTTATTTCACGTGATGTTTCCAGAAATGGACCATACTAGAGAATGTGAAGGATTAGGTTTGAATTGTTTGTTGTAATTTACCGCTATTACAGCAAACATCATTTGTGGTCAAGTTACGTCGCTTGGATTTTAAAAGAGCCCATTTTAGTGGAATTGTATTATTAATTGTTAGCAATGAAACAGTGGCGCAAGTCTGTCCGAAGAGTTGATAACACTAACTAACACCTTACAGGTCTACCACTGAATGAATGCCGATCTTCCGATCGTTTCACCGAACGGAGGATACCGGTAACTCCAGGCAAACATTTTTTATTTCTCATACATCAACATAATTGACGTTTGCTTAATTAAGTAAATTTGATTGACTCGAATTATCAGAGAGATAGGTAACAAATCAACCTTTCCTTTAGTTGATTCTAACATGTTCATTATTTGATTTTGCAGGGTTGACCACTCAAAAGAGTGCATGTCGATTTTTAATCTAAAGGGGACATACATGTTTTAACGATATATATCCTCCCAGTTAATAATAAACCCTTAATAATAGTAAATTAATAGTAAACCCTTGATTTTAAATAGGGATTAGCCTATGTGTGGCATATAATTAGACATATGTTTTGTTGGCGAATTCAGGCAATATGATTTTTTTCCATATTTACTCTTTAACTATTAACATTATTATACACCTCTTAAAAACTACATGTAACACCTAGTGTCAATTTCAAATTTTTCCCTTCACTTTAAAGACTACATTAAAACATTTGCAACATTTATAGGAAACTTTATTAAATGTAATGTAAATAAAATGATCTAAAAAATTCAAATAGTTTACTCATTAGCCACAAGGATTTAATTAAATGTTCAAAATGATATCCACCAACGTCTATACAATTATAAAGTCGCTGTTCGAAATTACGACGAACATTTTGAAGCATTTCAGGAGTTATTAGACTTCATTCATGCACTATTTGGCGTGGTAGATCTTTCAATGAAACAAGAATGGTATTATAAATCTTGCTTTTTAAATAACCCTATAGGAAATAGTCCAGGGGAGTTAAATCGTGGGATTCTACTGGTCATTCAATAAAACCTCTTCGTTCAATCCATTCCCTAGGAAACCATTCATCGCCTTACGTTTATGCTATAATGCGGAGGTGCGCCGTCTTGTTGCATTTTTCATCCGTTAAATTGTGTACCAAAAATAATGGCCCAAAAATACTATCCCCATAAATTCTTGCTCATACGTTTAATTTCAATGGCTGTTGGATATGTGTTTCATGGAAAACTCTAGGAATTTCATCAGCCCAATAACGGCAATTGTGTCGATTGACAGTACAATTTAGAAAAAAAAAAGAACATTTATCAGAGAAAAAGAAATATTAAATAGAACATTTGGATTATTATTTATTTTTTCAGTCATAATCTCACAAAACCGTAGTGACTTGTCTGGATCATCTTCATTTATTTCCTGTACCAAGTATATTTTGTAGGGATGAAATTTATAATGTTTCAGTACTCCGCGGACAGTAGTGCGCGAAAAACCAGATTCTTGAACTATTTTTTTAGCATTTGAAGTACCAGACCTAACGCGTATTTCACACTCCTTGTATTTATCAGGATCTACCCCTAATTTCATGGGTGGATCGTGTGACTAATGTTGAGGTCCTACGTAGAATAGGCAAGGAATGCGAGATTATTAACACCATCAAAGAGCGCAAACTAGAATATCTTGGCCATGTTATGAGAAATGAACAGAGATACGGCTTGTTGCAACTCATTCTCATCAGTTTGGAAGGAGGCAGGAGAGATATTTGGCTTCAACCGAAAAGGTTTAATAATCGCAACCGACTATCAGATGCAGCAAGCAAGTTAGATGCCATTGATCGCCAACATCCGGAACGGATAGGCACCGTAGGAAGGAAGGAAGTATTTATCAGCTACTGATCCCATTCATTAATTTTTTTTTTCTTCTAATGTGCCTATCTTCTAGAGATGTTGGCGACCACATTGACCCATCTTATTCTAATTCACAGCAAATCGAAATAGATCAGTTGACGTTAGACCAGTCCACTTCCTAAGATTAGCCAGCCAGGATATACGCCTACGTCCAGGGTCTCTCTTACCCTCAATCTTGCCTTGTAGAATCAACTTTAAAAGTCGGTATTTATTATTACGCATGATGTAGCCGAAGTAAGCCAATTTTCTTTTCTTTACGGTGTTAATAATTTCTTTGTCTTTTCTCAGCCTCGTACCGTCTACATCTAATATTGTATATAAGTTGGCCATTTACAGCAATCCCATCTTTTGATTCGTCCAAGGCCTCTCTAAAGATATTTTCAGAGTATATGTTAAATATGCAACCCTGTCTAACTCCTTTTTCGGCTGTGAAGATATCGGACAGTTCATTTTCCAATCGTACTGTTGCTTTTTGTTGGAGATATAAGTTTGAGATCAGTCTTATATCCTTACCATCGAGTTCTGATGTTTTTAGGATATCGATTAGTTTCCTATGTGGGACTTTATCAAATGCCTTCTCGAAATCAATAAAACATGCATACACAGCGCAGTTGACAACCCTGGCTCTCTGTATTAGAACTTGCAAACTAAAAAGTGCTTCCCTCGCTAATTTTTTTAACTAGTTTTAATACGAACTAGTGATAAAGTTGCTTTAATTGCTGATTGCTTTTATTGCTGATAAACTTATTGAATTTCTTTAAACTAGTTTCGCTGTTCTCCTTGCAAACTTTTCAATTTCATAAAATATGGAAATAATTTCAACGTATTCTGCGAATACCATTTCGAACGAATTAAAAAAAATTCTTATTTAATATCTAAACTTTTTGATTTTTGCAAATTTCCTTCAAGGTTGCAATTACAGATATCTATATTGGTAAAAGATATCCCCTTTCCAATAAAAATCGATAAGTTTCAGAATGTTCACTCTAATTCACTATCACTATAATTAGAAATGTGTTTTATTAAATTTTTTCTGACTATTAGATGATGTGGTTAAGGTGGCGTATTGTTGACTTTTTTTTCGAAATATTTGTAGTTATAATTAATATATAATGAAAGTGATACCGTACTGAATTTGCAAAATAAAAAATAATAAAATAAAGAATTGGACAGAAAAATTAGAAATAAGACATAATGAATTGACCATTTCCTTATAAATCCGTTGCAGGTAATCAAATTTGAGACGTTGATATTTTAAGTAGAATATGTCAAGAATTTTGAAAGGATGGAAATAAAACGTTATTATTATCAATTCATCTTTTCGGGGGTACATGATGAAATATTAAAAATAATGAACTTTAATGAACAATTTGTAGTATTAAATTTAAATACAAAAGAAACTGCTCGGCTGTCCTAAGTAGAAACCCTGTGAGCGCCAATTCGAAAATTGTTCACCAGAGCAGGAAACGTGACAGACTGAACTTTTCAAATTTCTGTTTTATT